GCCGTTGTGGTCACTTGGGGAGTGACTCATCAGAGGGAAGATCTTCCTCTCTGTCTCTCCTCCTCTCTGTATATCTGACTTTCCAATAAACAAATAAATCTTTAAAAAAATAATAAGCAAACAAGGATGAGGAGGAGGTGCTGGAGGAGACGATTTGCCCCAAAGGTCCTTGCCAGAGGCAGAACTCCCCAGAGGGGCTGGTACTGTTAAGTAGCAGCAGAGGGCAGGGCCACAGGACCCGGTGGGGGAGGGAAGGAGACAGGACCGGAGCCCGGGAACAGCCATGCCCAGCCAAATGTGCTGCCCTGAACCTGCAGCGCTATTCACAGCCTCTATTCCCACCCGATGTCCCCTCCAACTCCTAGGTCACAGCCCGGACCACCCAGCGCCTCTGGAAGTGACCTGAGAGGAGCCTTTTCAAGGGTAAATGAGTACCAGTGAGATCCTGATGGTGAGCCCTAACCTGCCAGGTTCGAATCCTTATAGAGAGATGTCAGGAGGACCAGGAGCTGGCATTACACCTGCAGCATCCAGGAGGTATCAGAGCGCCTGTTCCAGTCCTGGCTGCTCCACTTCTGCTCCAGCTCCCTGCTGACGCAGCTGGAAAAGCAGCAGCAGATGGTTCCAGCCCTTGGGCCCCTGCCACGCACAAGGAAGACCCAGTTGGAGTTCCAGGCTCCTGACTTCAGCCTGGGCATTTGGAAGGTGAACTGCTGCATGGAAGACCTCTCCCTTGCCTCTCTACCTTTCAAATGAAATAAATAAAAATGTGTCGGCTTGGTAGGCTCCGTCCTATCAAATAGAAAGCATCTAAGCATCTCTCAGGATATGATAGTGTTGTTGGCAGTAGCCATTTTTTCATAGTTGAAAGACATTTGCTGGTTTTATAATCTCCCAAATGCTGTCCTAAGAGGCATCTAGGAGGGACTAGGTTTTTTTTTTTAATATTCATTTATGTATTTGAAAGGCAGAGTTATAGAGATTAAAGGAGAGAGAAAGACACACACAGAGGGAGAGAGAGAGAGAGCTAGCTTCCATCCCTGGTTCACTGCCCAAATGGCCGCAGTGGTCAGGGCTGAGGCAAGCTGAGGCCAAGGAGCCAGGAATTCCGTCTGGGTCTCCCATATGAGTAAAGGGGCCCAAGCACTCAGCCCAGCTTCCGCTGCCTTCCCCAGGCGTGTTCTTAAGGAGCCGGATTGGAAGTGGAGCATCCAAAACTCAAATGAGCATCCATATGGACTACTGCAGGCAGTGACTTTGGGCACCCACACCACAAGCACTGTGCCCTTAGAACTACTAATACAAGCAGTGGAATAGAGCTGCGTGTACAGGACTGCTTTCAAATGTCGGGGTAGGGAGGGTGGCACATGGCATAGCAGACTAAGCTTCTGCCTGCAACATTGGACTCCCATATGGGTGCCACCTCACATCCCAGCTGCTTCACTTCCTCTCCAGCTCCCTGGGCTAGCAGAGGACAGCCCGAAGCCTTGGGCACCTACACCCACGTGGGAGACCTGCATGAGGCTCCTGGCTTCAGTCCAGGAAGATCTTGCCCCCACTGCTCAGTCTCTCCTCTCTGTAAGAGCGCCTTTTAAATACCAATAAAATCAACGAGCACTTTCATGGACAGTGGCATTAAATGTTGTGTGTTTCCGCAGAGTTGAGAAGCCACCTTGCATTCATGTGGGAGGAACGCTCATGGCGTGGCATGATCGCACAGGGGAGGATGAGCCGCTATGCATACGGGTGCACTTTGCGCTAAACAACACCATTTTTCCCCCACGTGTGTCGCAGTAAGGCGCAAGAGGCAAGGACGGGCACCAAGCTGCCGATGTGGTGGGGGCCGCAGCCGTGGGGATCGGGCTTGGGGATGTCTGGTTTGTGCCCTAAACAGCTTGCCTTGCCCCTTCGCGTATGACCTGGGGGAAGGACAGGGCCCAGTGGCGGGGGTCAGGGGGAGGGAAGGGGGACAGTGAAGCCGCACATCGGTGAAGACAGGAGGAGGAAAATGCTGTCAGTGAGTTCAACGGACTGAGATACGCACTCCCCCTGCCCCCCAAAAATACATTCTTGGCTGGCATTGTGGTATAGCGGGCGAAGCTGCTGCTCGCAACACCAGCAACCCATGTCTGAGAGCTGGTTCGAGTCCCGGCTGCTCCACTTCCCATCAAGCTCCCTGCGAAGGCACCTGGGAAACCGGTGGAGGCTGGGCCAAGCGCTTCCACCCTACACCCGTGTGGGAGACCCAGAAGGAGCTCCTGGCTTTGGTCCAAGCCATGGTTGCTGCAGACATTTGGGGAGTGAACCAGCAGAATAAAACCCTCTCTCACCTCTGTCTATATTTCTTTTTCTGTAATTCTGCCTTTCCTAAATGAAGAAATCGATCTCTTAAAAAAAAAAGAGGGCCCGGTGTAATAGCGTAGTGGCTGAAGTCCTCACCCCTTGCATGTCTGGGATCCCATATGGGCTCCAGTTCTAATCCTGGCAGCTCCTTACCATCCAGCTTACTATCCACTTCCCATCCAGCTCCTGCTGTGGCCTGGGAAAACAGTCAAGGATGGCCCAAAGCCTTGGGACCCTGCACTCATGTGGGAGACCCGGAAGAGCTCCTGGTTCCTAGCTTTGGATTGGCTCGGGGTCAGACATTGCGGTCACTTGGGAAGTGAACCATCAGAAGGAAGATCCTCCTTTCTGTCTCTCTTCCTCTCTGTATAATCCGCCTTTCCAATAACAATAAATAAATCTTTAAAAAAAAATTAACCTGCCATGGATAAACTGCCTTTGGAGTCCTGCCTGCAGTTGCCTTGGCAGGGTCGGACCACACAATTCTTGTGGGCCAAATGGTCCCCACCCCCACTCAGTTTAGTGTATCAGAATTCCGTGTGCCACAGCCCACAGACCATGGCATACAAAGCGGTGACCCCACCCAGGGATGTCTGTACCTCGGGGAACAAGCCACGCTAAGCAGGAGCTTGGGCTGGGCAAGTAGCCCTTCTTCCTGCTGGACTCACCCTGCCGAAGGCCTGAGCAAGCAGCATGCTCAGAGCAGAGAGCCTGGGGGCCACACTCAACCCACCTGTCAGGCAGGAGTCAGGCCTCCAGGCATGCGTGCTGCCAGGGCTGCAGGAAGGGCAGTGGTAAGGTGTGGCATGGCTGAGGACCCCACCACGCCCTCCATGCTCCAGCCCAGCCCTGTCCACTCCCACCTCCTCACAGCCTCACCTGCCTCCCTTCAGGCCCTCATATATGCCACAGCCATCTCACTTCCAGGTCTTCATTCATGTCTCAGGCAGCCAGAGCCTCCTTTCCCTTGCCCAACCAGCCTTCCACCCACCCTCCCACTCACCTACCCACCCCTCCACCTACTTATCCATTCAACCGTGTACTTTTCCATCCGCCCACCCATCTGCCCTTCCATCAGCCACCCCACCACCCACTCACCCACATTCCATATCCATTCATCCACCCTTCCACCCACTCCAGGTGGACACGGTAGCACACGCAAAGGCCCTGGGGTGGGAGTGTGAGAGGTCAGAGAATGGTCTAGAGCCTGTAGTGCCTACAGGCTGTCCTGGGCAGAGGCCACCCATCTTTGAGGCATGGTCACATGTCTGGGCCGGGCACCCACCGTCCTGCCAAGGATGGTGGCGGGGTGTGGGGTAGGGGAGGCGTGTCTGATCTCACCACCTTTGATGCTGTGCCAGGATGGCCTCACCTCCTACCTGAGCACGCAGAGGGGCCTGGCCTGGGGCTGCTGCCCCATCTGGGAGGAGTCGGGGGGTGCCTGTCCTCAAGGGATGGCTGAGCAGCCTTCTGAACCCTGAACTTCAAGGATGGGGAGTGGCCCAGCACCTCCCACACTTGCTCTAGGGGGGTCAGGCTAGTCCTGAAAGAGTCCTCCATACCCTCCTGGCCCTGGGACCTCCCAGGTTCCGCTGCCTCCTGAAGCTCAGCCAGTTGGATCGCCCTTGACTTCCAGCAGAGTTCCTCCGGACAGTGAGCGTCTCCTGCAGGTGCTGCAGCCAGGAGGGGCCCCGTGTTAGAGCCACCAGGTTCTGCGACCTGTTGTGGCCTTCGGCACCCGTGGACAAACCTTGGACGACGTGCCCTCTGACAAGTGGCTGGGGTGTCATCACCAAGGGGCCAATACGCTGCACTTGCCAGGGAGGCCCTGGCAGTGAGGAAGCTGTGGAGTGCACACACACTGCTAGGTCCCGCTGGGTTCTGCCAGAGCATCTTCAGCCGTTGCTCATCCTGACGCCTGTGACTGCTGTTCCAACCTTGCACGAGCTCCACTTCCTGCATCCTGCACCCTCCAGGAGTGTCACCTGTTCGCCCTCCTTTCTGCCCAGCTGGCTCCCATAATCAACCCTCTGTCTGAGGTCTCCTCTGCCCCATCCCTGTGCCCCCTCTCCAGCCACAGCTGGCATCCCTGTTGGTAGCAGGGGTCATCTTCTAGCACACAGTTCCTTGAAACCGAGGCCCTGGTTGGCTGGCATGATGGGACATGGCAATGACCTCCCTGTGGGGCTGGGATCCTGAGAGTGGTTGCATCTAAATTTCCCCCCACCCCCACAACCAAGTTCATGTGTTGGAAACTTAAGCTAAGACAAGCATGCCGAGATGGGGGACCTTGCAAGTGGACAACTGCCAGGACTACAGGGTGGGACCTGTGTGCCATCACGGGGGCGAGGGACCCCAGGGCTTTCTTGTCCTTCTGTCTCTCATTGTGGGATGACCCAGAGGAGGGTCCCTGGCCCCCCCCAACCCCCAGCCTCCTGGACTGCAAGGGAGAATTCTTCAGTCCCCATTAAGCAACTGCACAGCAGCACAGGGCAGAACCTCACCCCAGTGGCTGACAGGCACCCCTGGGTAACACATGCTGAACATGAACCTTAAGGGTCCCGGGTCAGGGACACCTGGCAGGTTCTGACTCCCCCCCCATCCCCCCGCCCGGGGAAAAAAGTGTCCAGGCACACACACAGCACAAGACGGCACCCTTGACAACCAGAAAAGCATCCTGCTTTTATTTAACCTCTTGTAGACACGGAGAACAAAAATGGCCAAAAAAACACAAACCCCCTCAATCTGATCCTGCCGGTTGCGGAGCTGCACCCCAGGCGGCATGCACAGCCCCGCTGGATTTCTGGTGTGGGGAGTGATCTGGAAGGAGTGAGACCCTGAGAACGGTAGAGACACACTGAGCTGGACAGGGACAGGCCTGGGGAGGGGGAGGGTGCCAGGAAAGCCTGGGAGTAGCCTGGCAGAGCCCCATGGCTACGCTGCAAGGGAGCTGGGGGGTGTGTGTGGGGGGGCGGGGGGGGGGCTTGCACCTGTTTATTGCTTTCCGTGGCCACCTGTCGCCTAGATACTGCTGAGATCCGGCAGCACGTGAGCTGGAAACTGGCTGTGTCCTGGGCTGCTCCAGCTGTGTGGGCTGCAGGTTTGTGAGCCAGACCCCTCGAATCCCTCCGCCCTCAGCCTCAGGTGCACCTCCTGTTGGCCCAGCAGGCCCAGGAAGGGACAGCTGGGAGAAAGAAACAGGGCTAAGAGAAGAAAAAAAAAAAAATACATCCCCATTGGGGCATTTAGGCAACGGGGGATGGGCAGGGCACAGGCAGCAAAGGTGCCCGGCCTTGGCGGGGTGGGGTGGGGAATCCTGATGTCAGCACAGCTGGGAGGCCCCAGCCACTCTGCCACGCTCATCACACCTGGGTCTACCCGCTGAGCCTTGGTCTGTCTCCTTGTCTGTTCAAAATCGGGGTGACTGGGTGACTGCCCTGGAGGCACGCTCAGGCCACGTGAGGGTCAACGGAGCCGGCCCAGGGAGCAGGTCCTGAGTAGAAAGGCACGGATTCCCTGCCTGCTCCCACCAGGGTCTTGTACGGGCTGAGGGCCCAGGCCCCAGCCACACGGGGCTCCTGGGGACAGGGGTGGGGTAGCACCAGAGGACAGGCCAGCCACGGGCCATCAGGATATGCTGGCTGAGGGGCGGTCTGTGTCACTTTAAGGCAGCCCCAAGAGGCCTGGGCCTCGCCTGTGGAAACCCCACGGTCAAGTACTCGGAGGGGGGGGGTCAGTTACCTGCTGAGGAGCACAGTGTGCAGGGCCCTGCTGGGGCCAGGGGGGCATCACTGCCTCTCTGCTCCATGGCCAGCCCTGGTGATGCTCGGCCACTGAGCCACAAAGAAGTCAGGAGCTTGTGCTCTAGGTATGTACACGTGTGTGTGTGTGTGTGTGTGTGTGTGGGGGTGTGTGTGTGTGTGTAGGGGGGACCTCCTGGGGAGCCCCCCCAGCCACTCCCAGGCCCACAACCTGTTCTCTCCTCTCAAACTGTAACCCTAGGCACCTGGCACAGGCCAGCTGAGCCCCTTGCTCCCCGATCCCAGGTTGAAGGGCACCGAGGGGAGCCAGCCAGTGGCCATTGCTGACCCACACCTGGGAGCCCAGGCCAGTCTTGAGGTCCCTGCGCCTGCGCACAACACCACCCTTGGGAAGTTGGCTGGGGCATGTCCCTTCCCTTCCGCCGCACTCCCCACAGAGAGCAGGGTCTCAGTGCCAGCACTGGGCAGCGAAGGGGGGTCATGCAAAAGCACTCCTGTGGACACCCCAGCCCACAGAGGGAGCCGTGAACCCGAAAAGCAGGGCCTGGACTCATCCCAGCCCCCACAGGGGTCCTCCACGACCTGCTGCTACACTGGGCTTCTGGGCAGGACTGGGGGGGGGGCCCTGATGGAGAGCGGAGACTCCCCCATCCCAAGGCATCCTGGGGTCCCCACTGCCTCCGAAACAGCTGAGCCCGGGCTGCCTGTGGCAGGCAGGCAGTGGCGACCTCCATTTGCTGCAGAGGTCGACGGCCAAGGACAACACGGCCACCGCTCAGCACGTGGTCATGTGTGTGTGTCGTGCATGTGCAAGTGTGTGTGTGAATGAGTTTGAGCCTGGGTTGGTGCTCAGTCCTCACCCCTCACGGCCCCTGCTGGGGACACAGGGTCTAGGAGAGGCTGGGGGGACGGGGTGCTGCTGGTAGCTGGGGTGCAGTGTTCCTGCCCTTGGAAGTTGGCATGCAAGGGTTATTTATTGCTCCATGGGGCTGCCGGAGATGCTCTCCTGGCTCCCAGGACAGCCATTCCCAGGCGGTGGCCACAGGACAGCGCTGCTGTAGGGAGCCTGGGGTACCCCCCCCGCGAAGCTCGGCTGGTGTCTGCATGGCAGGAGCTGCCGAGAGCCGAGGCTGTGGGTGCTGGACCCGTCCTTAGCCAGGAGTAGGAGCCGGGGTCCACAGGCGGGCAAGCGTCCTCTTGGCGTCTGCTCCCGGCAGGGGGAAAGACCGTGGGGCCAGCTGGGGGCCGTCACGGCTGCAGGCGCTCCAGGTACTGCGGCAGGGGGTTTTCCTTGACATACTTCTGGATGTACCAGCACGTGAGGTGAGCCTTCAGGTCCTCCTCCACCACGAAGTCCAGCGCAGCCTGGGGCCAGGGTAGAGGAGTGGGGAGGGGTCAGAGTCCTGCCACACACATAGTAGTATAGGGCCTTTACTGATGGCATCTCTGAGCCTCCTCCTCCCTGGTAACCCAGGATGACCCTGGTACAAGGTACAGGTGCAAGTCCCCAGGGGTCTGCCATTCTGTTGAGCTAGGCTGGGGAAGGAGCAGGGGTCAGGACAGGTGAGAGGAGGAGGGATAGCTGAGGGCCCCCAGGCCATTCTTCGCTTGTGTTTGCAATACCCCCTGGTCCAGCCCAAGCCTGGACATGGGCCAGGTGGTATGACCATCCCACCCCCCATGCCAATGCCACCACCAGCTCTGCAAGGGTTTACAGAAGTACACCTGCTATATGCCAAGTGCTTGGGTCTTGGAACAGGAGCAGGCTAACCCAGCAGGCACGTGGTGACCCTGGCGGGTTCACTGTGCTAGAACCCTGCAGGACAAGAAGCACAGGGCTCGCAAGGACCACCGGCAACCACAGGAGATGCTCAGGAGGTGAGGTGCGCCAGGTGCCAGCTTCAACCTACCAGCTGCAGCGTGAGACCGGGCTCACGCTGGCCCAGCAATAGGCTAGTAAAGATGGAGGCCCTTGTACCCATCTCCAGCCCCGCATCCCACCAGCCCATACCTTGGCAAGGTGCTTGGCGATACCTCGGCCACGGTAGGCATCGGGGACCTCGGTGTGCTGCAGGTCCACAATTCGCTTGCCCACGTACTCATAGAGCAGGACAGCCCGGTCATGGCACCCTGGGGGAGGGAACAGGTACATTCAGGGACACCAGAGACCAGGCCTGCTGAACATGGCAGCCCCCAAAGAACACTCAGGTGGGCATCGGTTGCTACCCTGGTCAGTTTCTGCTGCCCCCTCCATGGTTACACCTGAACCCCATCCCAAGTCACCCACCTGCCTCCATTCACTATCCATCTTTCTACCCACTCCTCCATCCAGCCACTCATGTATCCCAGGCACCCACTGACCCATCCAGCCATTCTTCTATCCAACCTCCCATCAGCCTGGATAAGCATATCCTGTCACCCACTTATCCATTCACCACTCACCCCTCCATCGAGCCATCCAGCTAGCTACTCCTCCACGAACACATCCGCCCACCCGCTCCTCCACTCATCCACTTGACTATCACGCGTTTCCTTCTGTCCATTTCTCTACTTTCCCATCTATTCATCCAACAGTTCCTGAACTCAGCTATCACTTTAGGTACTAGGACAAAGTGACAGACAAGCCAGCTGAAGGACCGGATGCGGGCACAGTCAGTAGAGGCCAGCGAGCCTGGCTACAGCAGGCCCGAGTACCAGCCTGCGTGGCTGGCAGGCAGACACGGGGAGGAGGAAGGCGAATCAGTCATGCCCGAGTATGAGGAACAGTGTGCCAAGCAGAGGGATCAGCCGGCACAAAGACTCTCAGCCATTCGAACAAGGCCTCCACCTGCAACCACTGGGATCCCATACGGGGTGCTGGTTCAAGCCCCAGCTGCTCCATTTCTCATCCAGCTCCCTGCTTGTGGCCTGGGAAAGAAGCAGCAAATAGCTCAAGTCCTTGGGCACCTGCGCCCACATGGGAGACCCAGAAGCAGCTCCTGGTTCCTGGCTTCGGATCGGCTTAAGCTCTGTCCATTGCAGACGTTTGAAGAACGAACCAAGAGATGGAAGATCTCTCTGTCTCTCCTCTCTGTAAATCTGCCTTTCCAATAAAAAGAAACATATACTTTAAAAGATTAAAAGTTCAGAGAATGTGTGTATCATAGCACAGATGGCACACACAGGGCTCTGCTCCCACGACGCCCCCAAGAGGCACTCCAAAGTGAAGAGTGGCTTCACTTTCACACGCCCAAACAACCGTGTATCTGTGAAGCCCAGCTTGCTACCAGTGTTTTGAAGTATTCATTTCCGGGAGTCACAAGGTGATCAGTAACCCAGGTGAGGGAGTGGGAAAGAGCCGCCAGGCCAGGGTGAGCTGACAGGTGGGTGACCCAAGGGCAGGTGTGAAGGCGTTGAGGCTGGGAGTCCCGGTTCTGGGGCCTGGGCAAGGACTCTGCAGCGCTGGGAGCCTCCCCCATCGCAACCCAGGAGCCGCAGCTTCTGCCCCCTCCCCCAAGGCTCCCAGACCCCCAGCTTGTGGAAGGCATTGCCAGGGGCTGGTTCAGGTTTGCGTGCCAGGTAGGCACCCCAGAATGACACCCACAGACCCCTCCCTTGTGGAGTGCCTCTCAGCGGGGGAACAGGCAGGAAGAAGGATGGTCCTGCCGGTGACGGGTGGATGTTGCGCTCAGGAGAGTGGCGCAGAGAGGGACAGGCAGCCCGGGGAGGGGGCCCAGAGGGCACATGCAAAGGTCCCAGGGTCGGCTGTGGAAGTGGCAGTGAGACAGCCAGTTGTCTAGGTAGGGGTGAGTGAGCCTGGCAGGAATGAGGGGTCCCGGGGACACCCCACGCACAGCCCAGCAGGGACAAAGGAGGTACATACTGTCATCTTGGCTCACTGGCAGTGGCTTGGCTCAGGCCTCCAGGGGCCCTGATCTGGGCTCCGGAACCTGCCCCAAGGGCCCAAGGCCAGGCAGCACCCGTCACCTGGGAATCACGAGAAGGAACCCAAGGCCTGGGGGCCATCGTGTGCTGTGGCTGTCTAGAGAGAAAGCAGGTTGAAGCTGCTCTCCTAAGGGGGAGGCCCTTCCCTGCGAGCCCCGCCCCCCAAATGGGGGACCAAAGACCCCTAAGAAATGGGGCTTCACCTATACACGTCGGAGGGTGATGGGTGAGTCAGGGTGCCCCAGGCCTCTGGCAGCGGAGGTGTGAGGGGAAGTTCACCAGTCCTCAGCTGGTCTGTGGGGAGGACGCGTGCAGGTGCACAGCCTGGCTGGGGGCTCATCCTCATGGGAACACCGGCTCCCAGCAGGTGCACGGATGCAGGGGCCTGGCACAGGGGCAGGGCCTCATCTCCAAGTGCTACTCAGCTCTGAGTGGGGCAGAGGAGGAGGCCAGAGCAGGGCAGCTCTGGGAGGGAGGTGGGCAGCTTAGCTACCTCCTGTGCCCGTTGTTTGCCCATCTGTCAAATGGACCCTTTAACAAAACCTGGAAAGGGTGGGAAGGCATCAAATGGCCTCCCGCCATCCCCACATCACTAAATCCCTTCAGTCCACATCTGTCCAGGATCTGGGCCTTCCTGCCTGGCCCTCGCATTGACTGCTGTAAGTGTGCAGTGGCCGCTGCCTGCGTCTGCTCCACCCTGCCCTCCGAGCCAGGTAGGACAGCCCAGCCGCTGCTGGGCGACTCCTGGGCGCCCCAACCTGCTGTTTTGCTACTCAAGGGACCCAGAGAGGGGTTTTCCATCCCCCCTACCTGGTGCAGGGCCTCCTGGTACACAGTAAGTGCTCACCAAACACAGGTGCTCCAGCGTCTCCCCTCCCCCACGCCTGAGCTGGCAGGAACACAGCTGGCCTCACTCTGCCCAGCCCTTCACACCTGCTGGCTTCCAGGTGAGGCCTGAGCCCAGATGCAAATACTCCCTGGGGCCCCAGTGCTGGCAGGGCGCAGGTTGCAGAGAGCAAGAACCCAGGAGGAGCTGTGGCTAGGCCATCCTGACCACGCTCAGCTCCCAGCTCCGGAGGGCTGGCGCTGTCTGGGGGGCTGGCGCTGTGTCAGCCCATTTGGAAGAGAGAAGCCAAGCTGAGCTGAACACCCCCTTCTTCCTTCTTTCCCTTGGGGGTGCCACAGGCCTCTGCACCTCAGAAAGAGGGACTCAGAAAGTCACAAGGCTTCTCCCTGTCCCTTAAGAGACAGGGAAGGGCTGCTGAGTGTCACAGCCAGACGGGGACGGACCTGGGATGACAAGAGGCAGGAGGTGGACCAAGGTGGCCAAGGTCCCGTTTTTGAGGTCCCACACTGGGCAAGGAAAGCCCTTTCTAGAAACCGCCCTGGCCTCAGTTTCGCCATCTGTGACGAAGGGTGGCAGTGCCAGTCCCAAGCGTAAGGCCGCAGAGGCCGTGGAGGCTGTGGCTGGATTAGATGGCCAGTACTGCCCAGCTGGTGTGTATGTGTTTGGGCGAGTGTCCTGAGAGGGGGTCGAGCCCTGTTTCCCCCCCACCGGCTGACCCTCAGGAAAGCTTCCAGCTTGCCCTCCAGGTTGTCCCGGGCCTTTGCCTTCCCGTCTCAGAAATGGGCTCCGCAGCCCCCTGCGGGTTCTCCCCATCAGGACAGGGCCACAGTGGGCCAGGCTCAGGGTGGCCTCAAAGGAGCTCCCGGCTATCAACATTCTATTTCTCACCCCAAAGGGGCGGGCGCGGGCTGCTCGAAGCTTCCAAAACAACGACCCCCGCACCGCCACACCAGCCCCCAACCCTGCTGTGTGCTCCCCACACACCCGCTGCGCCCTCCCCAACCAACCCGTGGGGTGCAGGCGGGGAGACCGAGGCACGGGGGCGCACGGGGGCGCACAGGAGCTCCAGCCTCGCTCAGCCTCGCCTCGGGACGCGGACCGGAGTCGCGCAGGGGGCCACCCCGCCGCGGGCTCCCTCCCGCCCCCGGAAGACGGCCCGGTCCGTGCGAGCAGGTGCCCGGGAGGCCAGAGTACCCCCCCCCCCCCGGGGCGCACACAAAAGGCGAGCGGGGCGCGTTACCGTTGAGCCGGACGGTGAACTGGCGGCGCCGCCGGTCGTGCTCCACGCGGATGGGGCATCCCTGCTCCTGCGCGCCGGGCTGCGCGGCGGCCCCCGAGTGCGCCATGAGGGGCGCGGGCCGCGGCGGGGTCGGGGTGCCGGGCGCGCGGGGTGCCGGGCGCGGGGTGCCGGGCGCGCGGGGTGCGGCCCGGGGCGGCGTTGGCGTTGACACTGCGCGGTGGCGGCTGCTGCTGCTGCGGCGGCAGCAACAAAAAAAAATAAAATAAAATAAAATAAAATAAAGAAGCAGAAGACGGCGGCGGGGGCGGGGCGGCGGCCAGGAAATCAGCTGTGCGGTCACGTGCGGCGCGCGGCCCAAGGGCAGGCGGTCTTTTTGTTTTGATACATTCCTGTCGGCTCTTAAAGGGGCCGCGCGCCGCGTGCCGCAGGCAACCCCAAACAAAACAAGGCGCCGCCTCCCACGCGGGCCGCCTTCTCTTCCCCTTCTCCCTCCCCTCCTCTCCACAATTCGCAGCCTTGCATTCTGCCCGGTGGCGAGCCTCCTGGCGTGAGCTAGAACGGTCTCCCACGACCCACCCATCCCCAAAAAAAGACGGACCCCCCACTTCCACTCACTTATAGGGAGATTTTGCTGAGGCAGCGTTTATTAGGGGCCTGCTGCCCTGCAGAGCAGCACGGCGAGGGTTCCAGCGGCAGCTGGAGCTCTGCATTTGTTTTTTTGTTCTTTTTGACTATTTGGGTTCCACTGACAAGGAGGAGGAAAGAAGTTCCGGGTGATGGGAGGGACCATCAGGAGTTGGGGGCCACCTCCCGCGTGCATTTGGGGCAGGGGGATGGGGAGACCCGGTTTACTTAGCCTCGCTGCACGTGCTGATGCCCAGCGGGCACCTGCCCCGTTGTTTATTTCGTATGACTGCAGGCCTGGGTGGGGGGAGAGTTCCTGGCAGGGCCCAGCACATGGCAAGCACCAGATAAAAGCCAGGCCCCTCCTATCTCTGGCTCCCTTCTTTCTCTCCTGCTTCATTTTTATTTTTGAAAGATTGATTTATTTATTTGAAAGGCAGAGTTACGCAGGGGGATCTTCTGTCTGATCTTCTGGGTCTCCCACGCGGGTGCAGGGTCCCAAGGCTTTGGGCCGTCCTCCACTGCTTTCCCGGGCCACAAGCAGGGAGCTGGATGGGAAGTGGGGCTGCCGGGATTAGAACCTGCGTCCATAATGGGATCGCAGCGAGTTCAAGGCAAGGACTTTAGCTGCTTAGCCACGCTGCTGGCTGAGGTTTTAACATTTTTGTTTTAAGACATTGAAGGTAGCAGTGTGCCAGGGCAGGTTGTGGGCCTCAGGGGTCCTGGACAAGCCACATCCTTGGGCACCACTGAGCTTGGCCAGGGACCTGAGGTCCCACCATGCAGGGAGACCCCACTGATGGCCTTGGGCCAGCCAGGAACCTGGGCAGGCTGTAGCTGCTGTGGGCACTGTGTTGGTCTAGGAAAAGCAGAGCAGAGACCTGGCAGATTCTGGGCAGTCACATCCACACTAGTCCAGGATCCTAGGGAGAGATCCGCACTGCTGACCTTTGCAATCTTCACAAAACCTGAGCTTTTGTGTCCCATGCCTCTCAGATGCAACAGGATCTTATGTCTGAGGAGCCAGAGCCCAGGGTGTGTGTCCTGACAGCGGAACACACGGTGCGTGTTGTGCTGCCTCCTGTGCGGGGGAGGGGGAGGGAGAGGCTCACGCCCAGGTGTACAGGAAGGGTGAGTCAGCCTGCTCCTGTCCAGGCCCTTGCATGCCGTTTCAGAAGGCAGAAACAGGCCAGCGACTTGGAGTGGCGATGGTGAGCAGGGGGCACGGTCATTGGCACCAGTTGCAATTTCACCAGTTCATGAGATGGGCCCATGAGATGAGAAAAGATTTCTTTTTTATTTTTAAGATTTATTTATTTATTTATTGGAAAGTCAGATATACAGACAGGAGGAGAGACAGAGAGGAAGACCTTCTGTCCGATGATTCACTCCCCAAGTGAGCCGCAATGGCCGATGCTATGCCGATCTGAAGCCAGGAGCCAGAAACTTCTTCCAGGTCTCCCACACGATGCAGGGTCCCAAGGCTTTGGGCCGTCCTCGACTGCTTTCCCAGGCCACAAGCAGGGAGCTGGATGGGAAGTGGAGCAGCCGGGATTAGAACCGGCGCCCATATAGGATCCTGGCCCATTCAAGGGCCCATTCAAGGACCCATTCAAGGCAAGGACTTTAGCCGCTTGGCCACACCGCTGAGCCCGGGGAGAGAGTTCTGAACCTGGGATCGACAAGAATTGTGCCCTAAATCATCAGGAAGTGGCTGCAGAAGAAGTAATGAAACTGCACCCTCCAGCCGCTCTGAAGGGTCAGGATTCTCCGAGGGAGGAACAAAATGGGGCAGGCAGGTTGCAAGCATAGAGTCCCAAACTGGAAACCGTACCTCCCCCATCCTCCCCCATCCTCCCCCATTCCCCCATCCTTCCCCATCCTCCCCCATTCCCCATTCTCCCCCATCCTCCCCATCCCCATTCATCCTCCCCATCCTCCCCATCCTCCATTCCCCCATCCTCCCCAATCCTTCCTCCATCCTCTCCCCCATCCTCCCCCACCCCCCATCCTCCCCCATCCCCTCCCCCATCCTCCCCCATCCTCCCCCATCCCCCCCATTCCCCCATCCTCCCCCATCCCCCATCCTCCCCCACCCCCATCCTCCCCCATCGCCATGCCTACCTGTCAGTCGGATGGCCTCCCTGTCCCAGGATGCATTCCCTCTCTCCCAGGACACAGGGCGGGAGGAAGCCAGGAAACAGGGAGGGCTCCCTCCCTCCTCCTCTGGACACAAAATGAAAGCTGCAACATCTCTCTCAATTCTTCAGCCCCGTCTACTCCTTGGAGATAATCTGTCCCATGTGTGCCTATGATTTCCTCACCTCTTAAATAAATTTGAACCCCTCCCCCCACACACAGACACACACAAAAGTTAAGGAAAGTAGTGTTTACACAGAATAAAAATTCCTCATTTTGAGACAGGGTTGTGGACGAAGCTGTTGCTGATTTTATTTTATTATTGAAAAGTCAGATTTTTAAAAAAGATTTATTTGTTTTTATTGGAAAGGCAGATGATTCACTCCCCAAGTGATCACAACTGCCGGTATTGCACTGATATGAAGCTGGGAGCCAGAAGCTCTTCCGGGCCTCCCATGCAGGTGCAGGGTCTCAAGGCTTTGGGCTGTTCTTGACTGCTTTCCCAGGTCACAAGCAGGGAGTTGGGGACAGGAGAGGTCGAGGGAGACTCCTGCAGCGAGGAGGCCACCCCATGTAGACAGGGCAGGCTTTCGACCATTCTGTGGTGGACACTGCGGGGGCTCACTGCTTCTTCAAGGCTCCCACAGACATGGAGCTGCCCTGTACAGCGGCCAGCAAGGAGGCCTCCAGCCGGGAAGGGCAGACAGGGATGGTCTTCCATCCTAGCGTGGCTTAGGGGAGGCAACAGCCCATTTGTATCGCCATGCTGCAGGAGAGTCCCATAGAAGTCATGAGAGGAAGCCGTCTTCAGCCCTGTGTCTCGGCCATGGATGGCCTGCATGGACCCTGGGTCAAGGGGCTTGAAGGAATGCAGGGAAGGGGCCTGTGGGCCCTCCTGGCTGCCCAGCTCTGGGGCTGGGCCATCTGTGCCATGCACAGGCACTGGGGGATCGGGCAGACTCCACCACCGGAGCAGCCTTTCCCAGTGGCACATGGTCCAAGGGGCCCTGGCGGGGCTGGACCCACATGGACTCCCACAAGCCTGCATTGGGGGGTCTTGCTTGAGGGATTCAGAGCCGTCTTGCTCCATAGAGTTTTCCTCTTCTGTCCAGTCAATGTAGATGGTGGGTGGTTCTGAAAAGGGAGTCTCAGCGAGGTTAGCTGGGAATTCAGGGAGTTGCTGCAGTGTGCCTGGGTCCTGAGCAGTTTGCCTGCCCTGCAGAGGTGTGGGGGCAGCAGCAGGCTTCTCAGAGCCTGGTGCATTCCTCGCGGAGCTTTGCTGAAAGGAAAACAGAGCAGGTTTGCTTCTGCACAGGCACCAAGTGGCCTGCAGGGTGCATGGGCTGCACCTAATCCCTTCAGTCCCGACACCAGGGGTGACACCAAGGGTACCCTCCAGGCTGCTGACCCCAGGGGAAGGCTGTGTGCATGCAGGGCGGTGGCAGGAACACCGAGCTCCTGCTCACCCTGAGAATTCAGGAGCCAAGCCTGACTCTGCTTCTCAGAGGTTATCTGTGGGTGCCCTCTGTTCACAAACTGACCTCGTGACAGCCGTGCTCCCTGTGGGCCCTGACATTCTCCGTAGTCTGCCTCCTGAGCAGCTCAAATGTCCCATAGCACGTGGCCTGGGAAGCCTAGAGGCTTCCCAGACCGTCAGTAATACAGGTGTCTGTTGGGAAGCCAACGGCATGCGGCTCCATGCCGGCCAGCAGAAAGCTTTGCCTGCTATTATTGCTCCTCTTTTCTGCTGCTAGCCTGGGGGCTCCATATGGTGATAGGAGAGCCTTGGTCTTTGCTGCTTCTGGAAAGAAACGCGATATGTGGGCCCAGCGCTATAGCATAGTGGCTAAACTCCTTGCCTTGCATGCCCGGGATCCCATATGGGTGCTAGTTCTAATCCCGGCAACCCTGCCTCCCATCCTCTCCCTGCTTGTGGCCTGGGAAAGCAGTTGAGGATGACCCAAAGCTTTGGGACCCTGCACCCACATGGGAAACCTGGAAGAGGCTCTGGGCTCCTGGCTTCAGATCGGCTCAGCTCTGGCTGTTGCGGCTGCTTAAGGAGTGAATCATCGGATGGAAGATTCGCTGTCTCTTCTCTGTGTATCTCTGGAAACAGAGAGAGAGAGATGCCGGATGCCTGCAGTATCCAGGGGACAAAGGCTTTCCCCAGTCTGCATTGTCTAGGAAGCCCTAAAGAAAAAGGAGAAACCGAGGCCAGGAGCAAGAGTCTGCTAAGTTTTCCAGCAGTTCTTTCATCCATCTCTGTGCTGAGAGCTCATGGTGCCTGTCCTTGACCCTTGGATGATGAATGGGAACCCGACAGGAGGACACACAGATGTGAGCGTTGAGTGGTGACAGCGGGAACCATGTGTAGGTGCCAGCTTCTTGGTGAGACCT